TTATCACTCTTCCTCAACCAATCAATCATATAAAGTGCATGGAATGATCCTTCGTGCGTTAACATTAGAATCATGGCACAGAATGTTCCTTCGTGCATTAGTAATCATATCATGGCACGGAATGTTCCTTCATGCATTAGTAAACATATCATGGCACGAAATGTTCCTTCGTACATTAGTAAACATATCATGGCACGGAATGTTCCTTCGTGCATTAGTAATCATATCATGGCACGGAATGTTCCTTCGTGCATTAGTAATCATATCATGGCACGGAATGTTCCTTCGTGTATTAGTAAACATATCATGGCACAGAATGTTCCTTCGTGCATTAGTAAACATATCATGGCAAGGAATGTTCCTTCGTGCATTAGTAATCATATCATGGCACGGAATGTTCCTTCGTGCATTAGTAAACATATCATGGCAGGAATGTTCCTTCGTGCATTAGTAATTGTATCATGGCACGGAATGTTCCTTCGTGCATTAGTAAACAACACAATCATGCACGACATCACCCATCGTGCTTTATCACTCATCCTCACCCAAACAACAATCATAAACAATTGGGCGAGGGGATATACAACAGTAATAGAAAGCCCGACAAGGAAAAAAACACAAGTAAACAGTTAAATCCCAGCAAGGGAGCAACAACAATAACTTTCACATCCTGGCAAGGGAGATAATCAAAATACGAAAACAGCCCGGCAAGGGAATAATCACATATGTTTCCCTTTCTTTCATTTCTTACTCAAGAATCACCTTATTATTCGAGTCAATGCTCCAAAGAGTTTATAAATCATAGTTATTTCTCATACTCTTCACATTATATAGAAATTATCAATTAAACAAGGAAGAGTCACCACAAAATCAGAATAAGCACAAATAAGGACTCACGGTCATGCTAGACATCAGTGTATAGATACTCGTCACCGTGCCTACACATCGTACTCGACAATTAGTACTTAGCAAACAATTCTGTACTCATATTCCCTCAAGCCAAAGTTAGATCAAACACTTACCTCGAATGCTCTAACTCAACCCAAGCCTCTAATATAGCTTTACCCCTCAAATTCACCACAAAACCGCTCGAATCTAGTCACAAATTGCTTGAATGTATCAACAAATGCTAATTGAACCAATTTGAATGCATGAAAATGAATTTCCCAAAGTTTTACTCAAAATTTCCCAAAACGCCCCCGGGCCTACATGATCAAAACCTGAGGTTCGAACCAAAACCCGATTACCCATTCCCCCACGAGTTCATATCTATGATTAATTTTGAAATCTGACCTCAAATTGAGGTCCAAATCCCCAATTTTAAGAAAACCTAGGTTCTACCCAAAATTCCCATTTTCACCCATGAAAATCCTTGATTTTAAGATGGAAACATGTTTAATGATGTTAAAGATTGAAGAAATTAAGTAAAAGTTGACTTACAAATGATTTGGAGAAGATAGATTTCTAGAAAAAACGCCTATGGAGTTTGGGTTTTGAAAGAATGAAGAAATAGGGTTTAAAATTCGTCTAAGTATGAAAATGCAGGTTGCAGACGTGGGAAATGCGAACTTGGGTTCGCAATTGCAAACCCAACAGGCTTGGAAAATGCGAGAAAACTGTTCGCATTTGCGAACACTGCTCAGTTGCCCGATCTTCGCATTTGCGGAACTTGTTCGCATTTGTGATGTCCGCATTTGCGAAGCAGCCTTCGCATTTGCGAGCCAGGAATGCGAAGCCTGCAGGTGTGAAGTACCTGTTGCAAATCTGCAGCCTAAAGTTTAAAAAAAACAACTCGACACCTATCCAAAACTCACCCGAGCCCTCGGGGCTCCAACCCAAACATACACACAACCTCAAAAATATCCTACGGACTTACTCGTATGATGAAATCTCCAAAATAACATCACATACATAGAATCAAGCCTCAAATCACATGATTTCTTCCAACTTTTCATAAAACACAAATTTTCCTTTTTTTAAGTTCGAAACACGTCAAATGACGTCCGTTTTCAACCAAACTTTACAGAAAGCGCTTAAATCACATATAAGACTTGTACCGGGCATCAGAACTAAAATACGAGCCCGATACCCTAGTCTTCTGATCAAATTTCTTTTCCAATTTCCTTAATTAATTTCAGAAAATAATTTCACACAAAAATTTAATTCTCGGGCTTGGGACCTCGGAATTCGATTCCGGGCATACGGCCAAGTCCCATATTTTCCTACGGACCCTCCGGGACCGTCAAATCACGGGTCCGGGTTCGTTTACCCAAAATGTTGACCGAAGTCAATATTAATCAAATTTATATCAAAATTCATCATTTTTCTCACAGAATTCATATTTAAGTTTTCTGGTTACGCGCCCGGACTGCACACGCAAATCGAGGCAACCCTAAATGAGGTTTTCAAGGCATCGGAGATACAAAATGAATGGGAAATCAGGTGATGACCCTTTGGTTCGTCACAAATTTTTAGTGTAGTTGCAGCAATCCCCGTTAAGAAAAGAATTGGCTTTACTTCACTAAAAGTTCTTGTAATAATCTGTCACCCGTTGAAGTTTACTTAAATATTTCCTTCATATATTGTTATTCTCCCTTTGTGAGAATCATAGCTACATGGTTTCATGGAAGTGGTGATATTCTAATACAATCGTTGATTAGCTTTCTTTTGCTTTAAATTTCTTTAATATGATTAATATAGAAATGTTGCATTTTTATTCAATTTTCATTCATGTAATTCTCCAGTTTGTATAATGTTCACAAGCATAGGAAATATTATTTGGCAAAAATTGTTTGGTCACTAACTAATAAGAGAATTATGAATAAATCTTGAAAGGAAGGATGGACGTAAGAATTGGGTAACAGTCGGGTTCTCACGATTTGAATAGCTTTGAGATAAGTAGATGTACTAATTGAACTTAAATGTGGCTGGACTATTCAACGTTTCCTTCCCCTTGGATTGGTACTTCACAGGAATATATCGTATTTTGAATTAAGAACTTAGTTACTTAATTAATTTAATGTTAGGCAATTAGTAGGCGCGCTTTAATTTTTTCATTCACGGACTCACTTGCGGAGCGTGATGTTTAACACTTAATAAATTAATTTAATAATCTCATGTCATACCCATTAGTTTTAAGTTAATTTTTTTTAATTTAATTAATCCTTTGCTAAAATCGCGAATTCGCTTGCGTAGCGCAATAATTGACCCTTTTTTTTTGTTTAAAAAAATTAAGTATTAATTTTCTCATATATAGTAATTTTTCAAAAGTACTACAAATAATTGACTGTCATGATTTCATATTCTCTTGCGAGACGCAATTATAATAAGTTAATTAATTTTGTTATTCGATCACGCATTCGCTTGCGTAGCGTGGTTATGACAACGTAATTTATTCAAATTATTTTTTTAATAATTCTTATAATCAAGAAATAACAGCGGATAGCTAAAACATGAAAATTATATAAATCACAGTTTGTCCAAAAATAATTTAAGCCAAATGTAATTAATAAAGCGACCGTGCTAGAATCATGAGACTCGGGGAATGCCTTACACCTTCTCCCGGGTCAACAGAATTCCCTTACCCAGACATTGTTTTCGTAGGCCAATAATAATAGAGTCAAACATTCCTTTGACTAGGGATTCAAATAAAAGGTGACTTGAAACACCGAAAATCAATTCCAAGTGGCGACTCTGTAAATAAAATAATCCCTACTCAAATTCGTCACTTCCAATGGAAAAACTCTTTTAACCCCATAATCCATAAGACACATATATTTTTGGGTTTAAAAAGGGGTATGACAATAAGGTAGAAGCAGGTTCGTTGGCAGCAACTTTGTCCTTATAATTAGAGTTTGCGCGCGACATTATTGGCATTTTTGCCTGCGCCTGGGCACAGGCGAGGGCTATCGATGGGGCGATATAGTGAGGCACATGCACGCTTGTCACTTGGCGTGGCCAAGACCACATGGCCTTCCATGAACGTTAGGCGTTGGGAGCCTTGCCACGATTCCATAGGGCGCGTCAAGGGGTCATGGGGCATGGTTGGAAACTCGCCCATGACAATTCACATGACTATGAATTAGTGTCAAAATATTTACAAAAATGTTCATTTACCTTTCTACCTTTGGTTACAATTCAACATTATCATTATATACACATTGGAGCGTTTCACACCTCCTTTTTTTCGAGGGGATATGGAGTATTTTTAATTAAAGTGACATTATCGAAATGAGATTATTTATTTAATTTCAGAGTTGCCACTTAGGATAATTTATGGTGACCCAAGTCACTGGTATATTTTAAAACTCAAATCGAGGAAATTGACTCTGATTTAAAGTCTGCGGACACAGAAAACCGGGAAAGAAATTCTGTTAACCCGGGAGATGGTCTGAGGCATTCCCGAGTTCCGTGGTTTTAGAATGGTCGCTCAACTATTAGTAATTGGCCTAATTATTTATTACATATTTTAAACCTATTGTTCATTTTTATCTATTAACCGCTTTTAATACTTATGGAATTTGTTTGAACAAGTCGCGATGTCGCGCACTCGTTTGTTTTTGTACACATTGCAAACTGCACCACGTGAAATGCATCGCGATTTATAACGTGATAATTTTTATTATTATTGGAAGTTATAGCCGAGTCACATAAAAATCACTCGAATTTGAATTTATGTATCACAACTATTTCACGGAAATCGTATCCATTATTACGATGATTTATTATAAATCGCGCCTAAAACAAGCTACAATATTCATGAGTTATTCATTTGCTAAAGTATAAGACTATATGGGAATGTCCAAGAATTATAGAATCCTTTATGCACATGATTACCGACGAAATTGCTTATCTAATGAACTCTCTTTCATTTTTTATTATTGATTAATAATTAATAGAAGAACAGAGATGTTATTAATTGAATAAAAATCAAGCAACTAAATATAAAAAAAAAAATAATGAAGGGCTGTCCATTCGAGACCCAAAGCAAATTCAAGACAAGTCATATGGCCATTAGCAATTAATACAAAACATAATCAAACTGAACAGAATACTTATTCGTTGCATAATTTAATTCACCCTCCAAACATCCAAATATGCAAATCAACCGGAAAACATGAGCTCCCCACTGTCGTCCCTCACTGCATTCCCCTCCTCACCCATTCCACCCAAACCACCAGATATCCACCTTACTGAAGCACCACTCACATCCCCCATTACACATACTGACAATCCTACGCACTTTGCCGAAAATGCCAACAACGAACCACATTCCACACCAACCAACCAAATGCAAATTGACACACCTATCAATTCTCCATGCCAAAAATCCTTCCTTGAAACACTTACCTCCAACACCACCTCACCCACTTATATCACACCCACGACTCCTATCACTGCTCAGTTAGAACTAACGGATGAAACAATTAACGAATATGACTCCGATGACTTCATTCCCCTCACTGCGGAGGACAAAGCACGACTATATACATCTTGGCAAAACTCCATTATCATCAAAGTTTTTTTGTCGAACCGTGGGACCCCATCTCCTAAAAACAAAACTAACTATCACCTGGCAACCCACAGAGGAAATACACCTCATAGATCTGGGCTGCAACTTCTTTCTCATTAAGTTTCGTTATGAAGAAAACATGCATAAAGCCCTCCAAGAAGGGCCTTGGTTCATTTTGAATCATTTCCTCTCAGTCCGCCGATGGGAACCCAAGTTCATCGCCTCAAATGCCCAGTTAACCTATGCTGCCATTTGGGTACGATTACCTAAATTGCCTACCGAATTCTACGATTACGAAATCCTCCAAAAGATAGGCACCAAACTAGGCAGACTCTTGAAAGTGGATACGTGCACTACCTTAACTACCACAGGACGCTATGAATAGAGGTGCCCCTGGAACAACCCCTACGAAAACATATCCATATTGGCACACACAAACAAGGACTTCTATATGAGGGACTCAACCTCCTCTGTACCCGTTGTGGCAGATTTGGCCACGCAAGTTGGAGCTGCCAATACTCCTCTACCCCACCTTTGAACTCCCTTCCCACAACCCAAGCCTCCACATCGCAATCAGCCTCTCCCCCAAATACACTACCACGACCAACATCAGAGTGGAAGACTGTGAGTTTTCCAAAAATCTAACCAAAGAAATAACAAGACACAACACAACTACTTACCAGGTTCACCATCATCACCACAGAAAGCTCCTAGAACTCTCACGAAGGAGGCATTGAAGTTTCCCAAGGTAAGCTCAGGTATGTCCTTAGACCCTATTCCACTACAAACCACTAATTATTTCTCTAAACTCACACAACTAGACTCTAACGAACCAGCTGCACAGCCTGGGAATGGGCCGCTCACAACTCTTACCATGCAAAAACCTATTACAAAGCTCAATAGCACTAACCCAGTGGAGCCCAACCCAATAACTAGTCCTACATCGGCTTCCTTAACCCATACTCATACTAAGGGCTCTTTAATTAACGATGACCACTATACTAATACGACTCTACCAAATCTTAATCATCCATCCTCCCATATTACTCCTACTCTTACTAATACAAAAATCAACCCCAACCCTACTACCACACCACCCCACGCCACGACCAAACCTACAGCTGGCCCAAGCCAAACCACGTCAGCCATGCAAACAGACTCAATCTTCACCAAATCTACACAAAATCTCTCTGACCACCTCCAATCCATCTGCCTGCACACCGCCTTAAACGAACCAACCACAGCCCTTCCTTCTTCCACTACACCACCTCCTAATACGCCTCCTCAGCCCACTCATCATTCTACACCATGTGAACTCCAATTATCAAACCTAAATCCTACTTCTAATCTACACTCTACAACAACACCTAATACCACTACTGCCCATACATCTACATACGTAGACGTACAAAACATCTCTCATACGGACGACACTCTATACATAACCAGCTCAAATAGCCATGACACGCCTCTGGTACATCACACTCGAACAAAATCACCAACTCAACAGCCAACAATTCCACTTTCCATACCTCACCATGAACGGCCCTCCACACCCCAATCCCATATCTCCACTAATTTACACCTCCCAAACACCACCACTGGAATATCCACTGCAATCATGGTTGGAGATGGGTCTCCAAGGTTACTCCCTTATCTTCACCATGGAACTGAACAACCAAGAAATCATTCTACTTGTTCAGAACCCAACTCACCTAGCAGAGATCGTCACGGAGGGGATGCTACTGGGCATGCAAGCTGTTGCTCAAACTCAGTGGTCCACCCTCACACCACACCAACTGGACCCGTCGATGGCAAGGACCTCAGGCCCATCACCATGGGAACAAACTCTCATTCCTCCGCTTCACAACTTCCACCAAATCTTGGGGACACTCCCATTCTACCCTCAACACCACACGGGGACACTGTATGCCCCTTGGTTCCAACACATGAGCACCTTTCCTCCTCCAGAGTTGAATCTCTCATCTACGAGTGTCCAAGCTCCCCTATCCCTTCTGTTCAGCCCTCCCATGACACCACCTCCATCGCCCAACGCACTAGGAGAGTAAACAAGGCAGGAACTCGCTCAAATCTTGGAGAAAATGCGAGAAACTCGAACGGAGTTCATATGGCTCAAAGGCTTCTACCTCTACAGCCTCAAAGAACAGTTCGCAAAAAAGATCATTCTCAAATGCCCCCCAGACCTCATCACATGCAACGTCAACTTCAGTGTCAACCCCGACCCACAAGAAGGCAAATACTCCATGGTGATTGTACCTACCCTGAAAAAGGACACTACAACACCACAGACATCACAAACTGATGTTGCTGACTTAGATATCCCAACCAACCCCAACTCTAAAATGAATTTAATAGTTTGGAATTGTAGAGGCTCTAACAACATGGAATTTCGACGCCAATTTAGGTCACTACTAGATAACTACAAGCCTGCACTAGTTGCCCTACTGGAGACACGCATGCATGATCACACAGTGCTCAAAAATGATTTTAACTTCTCTAATCTGGCACAAGTGGAAGCTCAAAGTATGTCAAGAGGCATGGCCCTTCTGTGGAATGACGATTTGGTTCATGTGGATGAACTCACCATAACTTCCCAAGAAATCCATTGCATGGTCCAGGTACTACCTAACCCTACACAATGGTTATTTTCTTCCATTTACGCTGCAAATACTGTTCAAGCTCGAAGTTTATTGTGGGATAACCTAAAATGTGTGTATGATAGCTTTAGAGGCTCTTGGTTAGTAGGGGGGATTTTAATGAGGTCACTGAACAAAATAAAAAATATGGTGGTAATCCTATCAATAATACGAGAGTAGATGCATTCACTGATTGTCTTAATTATTGTAACTTATTAGACCTTGGTTTTAAAGGTAGCCGTTACACTTGGACAAACAAACGGAGAAATAGTAACACTATACTTGAACGGTTAGATAGAGTATTAGCTAATAACGACTGGCTACAAATCTATCCAGACACCATAGTACAACATTTGCCCCGTACATATTCAGACCACTGCCCTATATTAGTAACACTACAAAAACATAGAAATCCTACTACTAAAGCTTTTCGTTTTGAAAAAATATGGTCAACTGACCCCTCCCTAGTCAATATAATTCAACAATCTTGGTTGCATAATCCTCCCCTAGAGGAAGCCATACAAAATTTCAAGGAAAATGTCACACACTGGAATAGACATTCCTTTGGTAACATCTTCTTGAAAAAACGTAAGCTTTTAAATCGTATACAAAAATCTGTGCATTACCCCACAAGTCAGTTTCTCCAAAATATTGAAATTAAGTTAATCACTTAATTTAGCCAATTACTTAGACTAGAAGAGGATTTTTGAAAGCTAAAATCTAGAATTCAATGGTTAAACGACGGTGACGCTAACACACATTTCTATCACCGTACCACTCTAAATAGACGTAGACGTAATCGTATTAATGCACTACAGGATAGTGTCGGTAACTGGATATTTAATCCTATTGACATCCAAACTCACATCATCAACTACTATACTGACTTATTCAATACACAACACGACTTAACTAATTCTAATCCAAATTATTCCACCATCTACCCAACTCTTAACCATAGTGACCGGTGTGCACTGGCACAACCACTACATAACTTGGAAATCAAACAGGCATTATTCTCCTTTCAACCCTTTAAAGCTCCGGGCCCGATGGTCTACACCCATATTTTTTCCAACACTACTGGACACATGTAAACGAATCACTAATTCATTCTTGTCAAAAAAATTTCAATGAATGCAAGGTTCCACCCCTCCTAAACACCACATATCTATGCCTCATTCCTAAGGTAAAAAACCGCATTACTATAGCTCAATATAGGCCTATTATCTTATGTAACACCTCTTATAAAGTAATCACAAAAATCATTGTTAATCGATTAAAACTTTTGCTGCACAAAATAATTGGCCCTGCTCAGTCAAGCTTCCAAAAAGGGAAAAGGGCATCTGATAACACCATTATTGTCCAAGAATTACTCAATCACTTAAAACACAAAAAAGGGCAAAATGGACCATACGCTCCTTAAACTAGACCCGGAAAAAGCATTCGCCAAACTTGAATGGTCCTTCATCTATACCACGTTACAATACTCCAATATGCCACCAAACCTCATTACCCTCATCATGTCATGTGTCACTACTTCATCTATATCCATATTAATCAATGGCACTCCCACACAATTCTTTTCCCCCACAAGGGGAATCAGGCAAGGAGACCCTTTGTCTCCATATGTGTTCATCCTTTATCTAAAAAGACTGTCTCGAAGTATACTCCAATCTGTGGACTATTTACATTGGCACCCCATCAAACTTTCTAAAGAAGGTCCACCCCTATCTCATTCTTGGCGGATGACATCATTTTCATCTCTACTATACACAATAAGAGTTGCTCAACAAACATAAACACTATTAATACCTTTACAGAATTATTGGGACAAATACTCAGTTTACAAAAATCAAAAGATTTCTTCTCAGCCAATTGTGCCACTCATCAAAAGCACTCTATTCTTGCCAGACTAAAAATGCGTGAAGGTAAAAAATTTGGAAAATACTTAGGTTTTCCCATGTTTCAAGCAAAGCCACGAAAAGCGGATTTTCAATACATCCTGGACACTTTCAAAACAAGATTAGCCGGATGGAAAACTCAATTTCTATCTCTCCGGGAGATTTCAAGTCTGCCACTCATATCATGCAATTCATTGCTATTCCCAAATCAAATCTCAACAAAATGGAGCAATATATTCGTAATTTCCTATGGGAACTACCCAAGAAAAAAGAAAACTTCACCTAGTTAATAGGCATTCTATACTAATGCCTAAGGATAGAGGCGGCTTAGCCATCCAGAATCTCCAATTAAAAAATGTTGCTCTTCTAGCCAGTTTGGCATGGCGCCTATTCCAAAACCCTACCTGATTATGGGCATCCACTCTTATCCACAAATACAAACATAGCAGCAGCAAGTCATCCTCTTCCCACACCTGGAGGAATGTCCTATTAGGTTGGCAACACTGCCAAAATGGCCTTAAATGGCAACTCGGCTCCAACTCCGCCCTCAATTTTTGGTATGATTCATGGCTTTCCCCAAACACACCCCTCCGTTCACTACTCACTGGCCCTTTACCCCAAAATCACATTATCCAGAGTGTCAATTACTATAGAGATCTTCATAATTGGAACTTAACTCAACTTCCTTTTCACCTCAATAAGGATTTAAAAGCCCTGATACACCGGGTACACATGCCAATTTACACACATAACACTGATAAAATTTCATAGGGATTAAGTACAAGTGGAAATTTCACCTTCAAATCTATGTACTCTTATATGCTAAATGCAACGCTAAGTACCCAGGACACCAACCCACCATTCCAATGGATATGGCAACTTAAAGCCCAACCAAAGTCAAAACTCTCATTTGGCTCACAATGCACAATCGACTACCCACCAAATCATACCTACATCATCTAGGAATTACACAAGATGACCTCTGCCAAGTATGTAACACGGCAAGAGAAAATGTTGCCCATGTCTTTCTACACTGTACACATATCAACTATGCTCATTAACCAAATCAACCCTTCTGCCCACCCCTCTATGTGGCTCCCCACACTCATGAACACTAAGCATGCCACAATACCTCATAACATCAAACAAAAAACCTTCTTATCTTACACTTTATGGGGTATATGGATACTTCGTAATCATAATTTGTTTACTAATACACAAAAATGACTAACTCTTAAACAAATAACTTCCAACACACTGGAATTTATACACTTCACTGCTAGATATCACCAACCCAAGCTCACACATAACGCTAAATGGCTTCCACCACCTCAATCCTATTATAAGTTAAACACGGATGGGGCAGTTAGAAACTCCAACCATCAAGCAGGTATAGGAGGTGTCATACGTGACTGCCATGGGAATTTGGTTGTAGGATTTGCAGGGAATTACAACCATGCAACTATTTATGCACACTGAATTGTACGCTCTTTACCAAGGACTACAGGTTGCACAAGCATATGCTTTGACACCATTGGAAATTAACGTTGATGCAACGGAGGTAATTAAACTCTTGAAGCATGACCATCCACTATATACTAATATAATTCTTGATTGCAGGCACCTCCTGGACCAGCTGCTTACTCCCACAATATCACGTCTACAGGGAGGGGAACCTGGTGGCAGATGGGCTAGCAAAAGCTGGTTGTAGCATGGAGCCAACGACAACGCCCACAATTTTTGCAACGCCACCGCTTTTTGTACAACACTTTTTGCAAACAAGACCAAGCAGGGATTGACCATACTATAAACCAGGGGAGCACACGGAGTGACAACCATCTCCAATGGGATATTCAGCACACAAGACCTCGTCTAGATCGACTCTGGCCTATGTATGATCAACAACCAAACAATCTCAACAATAGGGGTTATACCCCATGTACCAATGTAACTAACATAAACTATAACTTAGATGCATCAGCATCACCCCCTCTGTAGCTACTCTTTTAATTAATGCAAGTATTTTCCTACTAAAAAAAAAAAATGCAAATCAAAAGACCATGGACACAAATAAAGCAATTAACAAAGAATGTCTCTTAGGAGATTAAAGGTTTGGCTCCATTCTTTGTCTTCTTTCAATTGAGAAAGAAAAAACGAAAAATCGGGGGTTTTTCTTACCTCTAGGTAGACCGTCTCTACTAGCTTAGGAAATAGGTTAGCTTCTTTTTTTGTTAGGGTTCTTTTTTGGGGTTTAAAATCTGAGTAAAATGGCGTGTAGTAGCCACTAATTAAGGGTGTCTTTAACTTTTATCCACTAATTATAATGCTCAGCAAAAATAGCCAATACTAATAGAAAAAGGACAATTTTACCCTTTCTTCCTCTCTTTCGCGTTGCATTTTCATCTGGAATACCCAAGGTGATTTCACGGTCGGCCTCCTCCATGCTTGGTCAATAGCATCGCGTCTATTAGTGGCCCCAATTACCAGGACATAACCAGGTCCATCACGAGATCCTTCTGATTTTGCTTCACTATTTCTTTTACCAATACGTACAATAGTTCCTTTTGCATCATCAAATTTTTCAAGTTCTGAATTTTTGAGCAGATGTCTCAATTACGTACAATAATTTCTTTCTTACCTTGTTTTTGTTTCTTTTGAGTTCAAGGATTAAAAGTTAAGGACATGAGTCTTTAAGTTTGACATGCAGGTTTAAAAGTTAAGGACATGCCGTCCTTAAATTTGACATGCAGGTTCAAAAGATAAGGACAGACAGTCCTTAACTTATAGTTTCAAGTTCAAAAGTTAAGGACATGTAGTCCTGAAGTTAAGGACATGGGCAGAAGGGTATTTTCGTCCGAGAAGTTAAAGTTTATTAAATCAGTGGCTAAAGACTAAAGACATTTAAAATGTTGGCTTTAAAATAAAGACATGAGTGGTTAGTGGCTATCTGTGCATATCGCCCAAAATCTGATGGGGTTGTACGGGCTAAGGGGAAGTTTGGGCTGTTTGTGGGGTTATTGTGCTCCGAATTTTGGGCCTCTTTTGTCCCAAACCAAAATAACGAGCCCAAACTACTAAACTACTACCAAAATATTAATTAGTCCTATTTAAGTTGAGTAAATTATTAAAATAACACTAAATACTATAACATGTTAAAAAACTTAGTTCAAAGTAATAAAACAAGAAAATATACAAGAATATAAAGAGCAAGAGATGAGAGCTTCTTATTTCTTCCATGTATTTCAAGTGTATACAATGTGGTGCCAAAACCCTTTATTTATAGGATTACATAGAGGTATACAAAAGAATGCCATAAACATGACATTAAACATTTGAGATCATGGAGGAAAATCATGGGGAGGTTATGGAGGTGTTGGAGTTACAACTATAATGGTGAAAAGTTGTGGGAATTATCTACATAATGGAGAAGAGTAGTGTCACGACCCAAACCCCGGTCGTGATGGCGCCCAACACATTGCTGGGCAAGCCGGACCAATTATCAACCACAACCCATTTGCTTATAAAATCCATTATCAGCTAACACAATTTAATTACCAATTTAACATAATATATGTCTAAAATAGCAAGTTAGATATGCGGAAGTTATACATGGCCCATACTGATCTGGCATCACAAGTCTAGAGCCTCTAATACAAGTTCAACAACCTACTACTTAGACAGTTTAGAAAATGCGGAAACAATAGAATAGAAGGGAGGAAATCAAGGTTGCGGATGCAATGCAGCTACCTCGATATCCCCGGCAAATGCTGAACGACTAGAAAGCTCTCACTCAACCTCTGGAGCACCTGGATCTGCACGCAAGGTGCAGGGAGTACTGTGAGTACTCCGACCCAGTGAGTAATAAGAATAAATAACAACTGAGAATAAGAAAATACGTATACACAGCGTAATCTATAATGAAACAGTTAAATAAGTAATTTGTAAGCAGTAAACCATTGAAAAGCAGAATGGAATACATTTACAACAAATAAGTAGATAAGGGATAGGCAGTTAAAATAGAGTAAACACAGAGAACAATACCAGCCCCTCGGGCTCTCTATTAGAACAACATCAGCCCCTCGGGCTCACTCTCAGATCTCAATAGGTACCCGCGCTCACTGGGGGTGTGCAGACTCCGGAGGGGCCCCTTACGGCCCAAGCGCAATATCAAGCCATCTCGTGGCGTATATATGTATCTCAGGCCCTCGGCCTCATATCAGCATCAACATATCCTCATATTTGGCCCTCGGCCGTACTCAGTCCAAAATCATATAAGCCCCTTGGGCATTGGTAAAACAGTAGTCCTCAGCCCAAAACACCATTTAAAATATCTTTAAGTTTCAAAATCAAGTAAAAGTGGCTGAGTTGTAAAACAGTGTAAAACAACACGACTTATGTAATAAGTCAACATAGTGAGGAAATAGTGATAAAAACCCGAAGGGTTCAAATAGTTGGCACGAAGCCCAAATATGACAATCAGTCCAAATCATGATGATAACAAATAAGTTTCAGTCAAATACTTGGTAAAATCATCAATCGGGACGGACCAAATCACAATCCCCAATAGTAAAAGACCCCACGCTCATCATCAAGCGCGTGTCTCACTTCAATATAGCACTACGATGTGCAAATCAGGGGTTTCAAACCCTCAGGATGTCATTTAAAGTCATTACTCACCTCGAACCGGCTACAACTCTAGCTCGCGATGCCTTTGCCCCTCGAATCAGCCTCCACGCGCGTCGAATCTATCCAAAATCAGAACGAATATGTCACAATATGCTAAGCGAACAAAGCCCAAGCAAAAACAATCGAAAAATATCAAAAATCCCGAAATTAACAAAACCTGAGCCTCGGGCCCACTTCATGAAACTTAGAAATTTTCACATCATTAGATTCCTTATCATCCCACGAGTTCATACATATCAAAAGTCTCAAATCCGACCTTAAATAGTCCTCCAAATCCCCAATCAAAGATTCAAAATATCAAGCCCTAGTTCTTCCATTTTTAGCTTAAGTTCCATGGATTTCTAGGTTAATTTCACAATAGAATCACGTTTTAGGTTCAAAATTCTTACCTCCAATCAATTCTCCTTGAATCCCTGTTTAATCACCTTCAAAAAGCTCTCAAAATGCTCAACTATGGAGTAAAAAAAAATGCAAAATCGCGGATGAAATAACTTAAAACCTTTCTGCCCAGTTCTGATCCTCCTTCATCGCGATGGCGACCTCAGCCTCGCGATCACGAAGCACACTTTTATTTTTCCCAAAATTAACCTTACGCGAACGTGACTTCTCCCCGTGAACACGATGGTTCAGAATTTATACACCTACGCGAACGCGATCCCACATTTGCGAACGCGAAGAACAACTGCTCCTAGACCCTTCACGCGCCAACTCCTCTACTCGATCGCGAGTAACCTCTCGTGAATGCAATACACATTTCTCCAGTCTTCCGCGAACGCGAGCCCTCAAACATGAATACGAAGGTCTAAATCTTGGCCTTCCAAATTCCTTATACGCGATCGCGACTCACCCCACGCGATCGCGAAGGGCAAAATCTTCTACAATAGCTGAACAGTTTTCTACAACATTTCAACTCCAAAAATAGCCCGATTGACCACCCGAAACTCACCCGAGGCCCCCGGGACATCAACTAAAAGCACCAACACATCCTAAAACATCATTCAAACTTGTTCCAATCATCAAAACCCTAAAACAACACCAAATCCACCAATTCACATCGAATTCAAGCCTAAGTTTTCTAAAAACTTCCGAAATACGCTTTCGATCAAAAACCCAACCAAACCACCTCTGAATGACCTGAAATTTTGCACACACATCCCAAATGACATAACGAAGCTACTGCAACTCTCAGAATTCCATTCCGACCCCCTGATCAAAATCTCACCTACCAATCGGAAATTGCCAAAATACTAAGTTTGCCAATTCAAGCCTAATTCTACACCGGACCTCCAAAACAAATTCCGATCACACTCCTAAGTCAGAAATCACCTCCCGAAGCTAGCCGAACCATCGGAACTCACATCCGAGCCCTCTAACACATATTTTAACATCAGGTTGACTTTTCCAATCTAAACCTTCCTAAAAGAGACTAAGTGTCTAATTTCTTACCAAATCCACTCCGAACCCAACCTAACCAACTCGATCACATAAAACATGGATAACAAAGTATAAAGAAGCAGAAATCGGAGAAACGGAGCGGTAACTCATGAGTCGACTGGTCGGGTCATCACATCCTCCCCAACTTATACAAATGTTCATCCTCGAACGAGTCAAGAAACATACCTGAATCCTCAAATAGGTGAGGATATTCCGCATCTCCTGCTCGGTCTCACAGGTAGTCTCCTCCACGGGCCGACCTCTACACTACACTTTCAATGAAGCTATATCCTTTGTTCTCAACTTTCGAATCCGACGACTCAAAATAGCCACTGGCTCCACATCATAGGTCAAATCACCATCTAATTGAACCGTGCTAAAATTAAAAACATGAGACGGATCCCCAACATACTTCTGGAGCATAGAAACATGAAACACCGGATGTACACTCGACAAGCTGGGTGGCAAAGCAAGCATATAAGCCACCTCCCCAATCCTCCGAAGCACCTCAAAAGGCCCAATGAACTGCGCCCTCAACTTCCCTTTCTTGCCAAATCTCATAACACCCTTCATGGGCGAAACCTTCAACAAGATCTTCTCACCCACCATGTAGGAAACATCTCGAACCTTCCGGTCCGTATAACTCTTCTATCGCGACTGCGCTGTACGAAGCCTCTCCTGAATCACCTTCACCTTCTCCAAAGCATCCTGAACCAAATCAGTCCCCAATAACCTAGCCTCACCGGGCTCGAACCAACCAACTGGAGATCTGTACTGTCTCCCATACAAAGCCTCATATGGAGCCATCTGAATACTCAACTGATAGCTGTTATTATAAGCAAACTCTGCAAGCTGTAGAAACTCATCCCAAGACCCTCCGAAATCAATAACACAAGCATGCAACATGTCCTCCAATATCTGAATGATACGCCCGGACTACCCGTCCGTCTG